AAAAAAACAATACTTACCACATGAACGTCAGATGCCAATGAACGAAGATAGTCAAGCGTTTCTTTTGTACACAAATTGCCTGTACAAATCACGTGCTGCATTTTATTCGGCACGAGTAATTTACGAAATTTGGCACAAATATTATGACTGCGATGCGGTATGTGAAAATCACCGATGATCAGTACCAACTGCAATCAAAACGATGAATTTTATCAGCTACAATCGGCATCTCCTTATTTGTAACTACTAAAGTTCTTCATCAATAATCTGATGAAGTGCCTGCCACAAGAACGCATACAACTAAGCTCTTTTCGTTCAATTGACAAATCATTTACAAGACCAAACAAATATTCCTTTCTCTGAAATTTTCTGGTTATTTAATAAATTTCTGGTAATTTAATAAACATCACGTGGCTAATATTTCTAAACAAATAAAAATTTTACATATGCATACGCATACACCTTCATCGGATCGCTTAAAATTCTTCAAGGCATGCAAATGAGGACGATGATGATCAAAATGTGAAACCGGAACTAAACGCTTACTTTAATCGGGATGCAACTGCTCATCATAAAATTGCAATTACAACTTCAACAATAAAACAAACGCATGAAACAAATGAAAACCATCAAACTGACCATTATGATAACGTTTTATCGATCAAATTCAATCGCTTGATTCAGTAGACGTCTCAAATTAAACTGAAAAAAAAACCCGACAAGTACAAAATATACTGCAATATGATAGACAATAATACAATGTGTAATCACAACGGCGTCGTCGCAGAGAATGAAACCAATTCAAATGCATTCACTTAAACTTTCACTTTTTTTCATAAACGGGAAACAATGTATGAACAGATTATTACGAGATTAAAACACCGAACGCAAATTTTGAACGTGACTGCAGAATATCCAGCGGTTATCTCACGAGTATCCATGAAATTTGCAAAACAAGCATCAAGCTTATCTCACAATCAAGACAATTTATTCGCATTACGCCAAACGGCTTATTACAGTTCATTTGCATTGGGGAAGGTTTGTTGCACTCAAATTGACGGGCTGAGAACCGAACAGAGTACAAAATGCACGGAGAATTATAAATGAGAGCGAATCAGTGATATGGCTGAAGTGAATGAGAAAAAAAGGCATGATGTAACGATAAGCTGATGAAAAGGAATGAGAGCGGTAAGACATCATGGAAATTAAACATGAAAATCATCTATGGACTGTGGGAGGAGAGTTGTATATGGGAGCATGAAAAGCGTGTGTGCCTTCTGAATACGTCCTTCTACTAGAAGCTACTCTCCTGTACTCTATCAACTCCACACATTCTATTCACAGTTTTCATTCCCGATTACAGTGATGTCTCATCACTCTCGTACCTTGCTTGACTGATAACATTACAGTTGCATTGTAGCATGATACTTTTCTCAATCACTTCAAACACTTCAATGGTTCGCTCTCATTTATAATTCTCTCCAAAATCTGAATTCTGTTCATTTCATCACCTCGCATTTTAAGTGCAGTTTGATTTCAACTACTGATGGTATGTGTAAAACGATTCGCCACAAGAAATGAAACAATTGAGATGCATAATTATCAGATCCGATACAATCGTGAGATCTCACACAATCCGAATTTCTCGATTCTCAACGAA